ACCACGCAAGCGCACAAGGGTGAGAGCAAGCCAACTCTTGAGTTTTCTGCAAATTTCCCACGATTCAATTTTTGGGGCACTCTTAAGTCATTTGACAAATGCCCATCTGCCTTCAATTTCTAAACTATTTGTCGTTGTTGCCTTCTCTTCTGTTTTCACTATGCCTGAAGACTTACATCTATATAAAGATTCTATCACCACTCTTTCAGCAGAGGGTGAAAACAGATCTGTGTGTTCAATCTATCACTTTCATCTATTCCTAAAATGTCTTCATGGGGTTGAAGGTATCTCCTAACATGCCACGAGTAACAAGTTCTCTTGGACAATTACTCCGTGTAGCAGCATTCCCTGTGTGCCTCACTGAGTAGTGTCAAAAGCAGTGTGAGAGAAATATTCAGGTTAAGGTTTTAAAAGCTACATATAAGAAAAGTTAAAAAGATACAAGATGCTCTTGATACTGAACAGAGAAGAAAGATGGTAGCTAGTCCAAATGAATCCTGAAATAATTTTCCAAGACTGTATTCTAGGGGAAAAAAAAGAAAACAGCTCTATGAATTCACAGAACTACGCCGATGAATAGGGTGCAAAAGCACGCATCATCCCAACCTGAGCTATCTATGTAGTCCTCCTGTCCAGACAGTACTTATTCTATGTTTCAGGTCTTTATAATTCCAACTTAATACTAACACACTTCGACCTTGATGAGTTGCATAGTTAAGCATGAACGCAGGGTAAGATCAACGCAGTATCAGAAATCATCAAGGATGTTTCTCAGAAAATGACAACAAGAAGTGCTTATCGTAGCAAGTGTTTTTATCCAAGTCCACCTACATGGGAATCCGCAGAGATCGTCAGCTAAGCACTGAAGCTGCTCACCCTTGCTGTCAGTGTCCACCTGAAAGGAATCCGATTCTCAGAGCTAGCCAACATCCCACCTGCTCAGCTGGGAAGCCAGGGAAGGGTAGCAAAGGCAGTGGGTACCTGCACTGAACCCCCATGGCGGTCTGCGGCCAAGTGAGACGTCAGGTATGAGGTACTGGTCTGCCGGCTGGGTTGGATTTGCCACTCTCCTCGGCGCTCTGACGATGCAGTCTGCTCAGGTATTAGGAAGCATGAGAGCAAGACATGGAAGGAAAGGTGAAGCAACAGCAAGCAATAACAAACTCAAGTACATTAGCGCCCCGGGGAGTCTTGCTTTTGTTTTAGATTTTTAAAGTAACAACCACTGCAAGGCACTGAGAGAAGTTAGCATGGCTATAGGCATTTGGCCGTCTGAGCCAATCTCTAATTCTATAGCACCCCACCCTGAAAAACAATAATGACAGGGGCAGCAAATCAAGCAAAGGCTAGAATCACCTTTCAGCTTCCACATTTGTAAAATTTCAGTAGCCATTAAGCAGATCAAATGCAGAATATGAAGACTGTTGAACAGAGGAAGAATCATCTTACAAATCATTTCACTGATAAAAGATCTTTCTGAATAGACGGCACTCAACAGAGAAAATTCCTGCATTATGAATCAAGACACTGCACTGTTCTCAACCTTAATGTCCACAACACTTTCTATTCAGGACACAGGAACTGCAGCAGAGGCTGGAATATGCTTTCTCATCTAAAAGAATGAACAAAGTTTCCCTTTAAAAACAGGTTTGTATGTGAAGAATGAAAAAAGATGGGTAGAGATCAAAATAGACAGTTCTCCGGTTCTTCTAGCAACCAGCCTCTGGCATTGAGTTACAAAGTTTACTGACGAGACTGCTACGAATGACTTTCTTCCAGAAAACGAGAGGTAGACCTTTCCTCTGCGGAAGGAGGCCGCCTTAATGAACAGCTTCTGGTCTGCTTTCACCTCTGCAGGCACCCAGGCTCTCCCTTCTCTTAGACCCCAAACTACACTGACCTTGCTCAGAGATGACTCCTATTCCACAGAATCTATGTAGTGCCTCTTGCCCCATGCCCTGTGCCTGAACTGTTAACATCGGAATGCTCAGCTGTAACAGTCCCAGGCATCAACAAAGATGAAAAAGAAGTAGAGAGGCAGCAATAAGGAATTAATAAATCAAATCTTAATTGCTGCTGATGTAAACGCAGCAAGGGGTAGGACGCAATGCTGCTGCTTCAGTCCTATAAATCTTAGAATAAATGCTGTATTGGATAAATTGAAAAAGTAATGATTTGAGGCTCTGTGGGCACTCTCTCCTCTCCAGGACCACAATGACAAAAGAGGTGCTTAAAGCTCACTCACAAGTCACCTACCAGGCATTTCCCATAAACCAGCTGCTGCTTATTCTGTTCTTAAAAGGCATGAGTGACAGCACTTTCAGGATCCTGGCCATGTTGTCTCTGGTGCTGCTTGGGGAATGAGCAAATTCAATAAGGAAGCAGCTGCTTTACCTTTCTTGCTATATAATCTTCCAAAAGAGGGCTTTTGTTTCATACTGCTAGTCACATTAGAATCAAAACTACCCCAAATCTCCCCTTCTCTCTCCTCCATTATTTCTACCAACAGATGTTGTAGTAATCCTCCTGCGTCAGCCTCCCCAGCTCTGGGATCACAGGTGTGCACCACCATCCCTGGCTGGCACAACATGCACTACTGAGGATTGAAGCTCGGTCCTTGTGCTTTCCAGGCAGGCACTTAGACCACTGAGCTATCTCCCCAGCCCACCCAACAGATGTTAAGATATTTCATTTCCCAAAATAAGACCATAGTGTATAACAAAATCACGCCACCTTACAAGCTTGTTGACACTATCTGTATCCTCGGAACTCTTAATCCCATTTATTCTGATTACTAGACACGTGAGAATAAATCTCTTCTAATACTAGAAATAATATTTATAACTACTACCTTTTAGTGATAGGTTTTTCAGTACTCTCTGGAACTTTTAATATTTTCTAATATTTAAACACAATATTCAAGCTCCTATCCTATTGTACAACATTGCCAGTTCTCCAAAAGTTTAAATTTGAAACATCCAGACATCCACAAGTCATTCAGTGTTTTTGAGTTCCGTAATACATACTTAACAATGTGTACTTCTCTTATGAATGTTGGGCTTTTGCATTTTTTTCAACAATTTTTCAGGTATACATTGGTTATTCTTTTCAGAAGTGTCTATTCATTTTTTGATCGGGTCTTTTATTCTGGGAGCTCTACCTTTTTTCAGTTCTTTATATATTCTAGGTCAATGGTGGTGAACCTATAGTATATATGCTGCGGCAAGCTGCTTTTATTGTTGAAAGCTTGAAAAGGCTTGCCATCACTGTTTTATGTATTCAACTCTGTCCAAGGTGTAGCTGACATTTTTTCCCCATTCGATAGGTTGTCTTTTCACTCTGTTGGTGTTTCCTTTGTTGTGCAGAAGCTTTTTAAGTTAATCTAATCTTGTTCGTTGATTCTTGGTTTTATTTCATTTGCAACTGCGGATCTGTTCAGAAAGCCCTTGGCTATGCCCAGGTCTTCAAGAATTTTACCTATTTTATCTTCCAGCAGGTTAAGTGATTTTTTTTTTTTAATGTAGTTTGTTTATTTATTTATTTATTATTTGGTACAGGGTTTCCCAACACAGCTCAGACTCTAGTGATCCTCCTGTCTCAGCCTCCCCAGTGCTGGGATTACAGGCATGTGCTACCATCATGCCTGGTTTTGGGGCGGGCATTGTGTGCCCGGGATTCTGGGTCAGCATGTCATACAGTAACGGAGATCAAACCTGGTGCACTTGCCAGGCAGGCACTTAGACCGCCAAGCTATCTCTCTAGCTCAATTGTTTTTGTTTTAACACTTAGGTTTTCGATTCATTTGTTTTAGTTTAGCCACTGAAAGCAACCAAGTAAGCGACAGAGGGGAGCCTGGTGGTTGCTGCTTTACTACTGTGGTAAGAAATATGGGTACAATTTTTTTCTCTTTTGGTACCAGGAATCGAACTCAGGGCCTTGCACTTGCCAGCCAGGCACCGCAGTGCTTAGCTACATCCCTGGCCTGAAATATGTGACTAGATTCAATCCCGTACATATGGATACCTAATTTTCCCAGCATCATTTATTAAAGAGGCTATCTTTCATCCAGCATATGTTTTTGGCCAGTTTGTCAAAGACAAGATGGCTGAATGTCCCTAGACCGAGTCCACTAATCATATACCTGCTCCTGGGCCAAAGCTATGCTGTTCTTACCACTATAGCTTTGTAACTGGAATATAACTGGAAAGCTTGGATTATAAAGCCTGCTGCTTTGCTATTTTCCAGGACTGCTTTGTGCCTTTGCTTTTAAGACAGAAGATAATTTAAAATAGTTCAAAATGTGTGCTCTTATACGTTCATTTTGTGTGTGTAGGTGAGTCAGTGTGGTGCTGGGGATTGACCAGGATCTTATGCATGCTAAGCCAGGCCTTTATGAATGAATGAGCTACACCACATTCCTTGCATGCTTCTTATTTTGGGGGCTTTTGAGAGGGTTTTGCTATGGAGTTCAGGCTGGCCTCGAACTCCTGGGCAATCCTCCTGCCTCCACCTTGATAGGGTGGGATTGCAGGCGTGCATCACCACACCCAGCTGATTTTTATTTAAATGAAAACAACAATGCATATTTCAAAGGCCTAAGAGTCATATCCCATCTCCTTCCTCAAAGCAATATACTATTTATCTTTTAAAGACAAAAAAGAACGTTAACTTCCAGATTCCTTCCTAAATGCTTCTACTGTGACAAAGGACAGATACACTAACTATACTGCAGCCCCCCCAAATCCCTTTTATAGCCACTGACAGCAAGCAAAACTGCGATAGGAGAGCCTGGGGGTTTTCTGCTTGGAAAGGACTTCTTACCAAAACACTAAACTTCAGAGTTACTCTTTTCTAGAATTTAAGGGCTCAGATGGCTCCTGAGTGGATGATGTAGTAAAAAGGGCCACTTGAGAGTTTTATAAAGCAACTGAATGGCTTGAAGCTGGATGCAGCCGCGGTTGTGGACAGGTGCACACTGTGCTCCTGTGAGCTCCTCTGAAACATGTTCAGGGGGCGCTACGTACATGGTTACAACTCAGCCTCGTCAGCACAGGAGCTCACTGGACCGAGCGAGACAGAGGAGATAAGCATGTAAACACTTCTTTGTTAAAGCTCACTCACGCACATACATCTAAAAGGCAGCCAGCCATTAGGCCAACGGCTGGAGGAGCCGCTCAGCAAGGTGACCTCCACAGGACCTGAGAGGCAGCAGTCCACAGGGAGTAAGCGCTACAGTCTCCACAGGCAGGAGCAGCCATCCCACGTGGGGCACCTCCTTGGGGGAGCTCAGTGTCACCTCCAGCTGTGACCCAATCATGTGCATGGACATGCTTGATACAGTGACCATGGAAACCACGAAGCAGCCATCCAGCACTGAGGCAGTGAAGGACATACCTGACAAGAGTCACCGAGGAAAAAGTGAGACTGTTGAAAACTATACCTGGGCTTGCAGCAGTACAAACTAATCACTCCTCATGGTCACCTCGAGAAATAGTCATTAACAAGAAAGGGTGGGAGACACCGCTGGGGACAACATTTCAGCAACTGCCCCATCTGTGCTTAAAAATTGCTTCAAATTCTTACTGTAGATATGCTGTTCCTCAGCAAAAG